AATAGGGAATACGATTCCCAGTTGAAGGGAGAGAAAAATTTTTGAAATTCGCCCCTTATTCCGCAATCTTTGGGCGTCCATAGGATGGATCTCTCATCCCTTCAAGAGGCGCGTTCACTTGGTGCAGGGGAAAGGCTGGAATCAGTATTGCTGGTATGCCTGGCAGGGCAGGCCACTGTGAATTGCCCAATGGTTAAAGAGGGGACTTTCGGATGTGTTGTAGACTGGTCTTGCCCCCCTATAACCTGGTTGTTGTTGGTGGAGGTGGGTTGCTTGAGGAAGGTATTGAGATTTGTGGAAGTAAAGCAAAGTGAGAACTTAGCTTTTTGTTGCGTTTTCCACAGGCAACGCCAATTGATGTAGCGCGATCTAGTAGCTCCCTACTAAGCACAGCTCGAACGTCGGGCTAGTGACGTCACCTGATCAAGATGCAAAATAAGGCAATCAAAATGTTCGATGTGCTTAATTCGATGTAGGCACTCCAATGCTTAGGTTAATGATGTGGAGATTTAAGAGAGTTGAATGCTTAATTGTAAGGGAATTCGAGAGCTAAATCGTGCATACCTTGTGAGGCTAGAGGCGAGGCCTTTATATAGGCAAGCTATTGTGGGCCTCATGATGAGTGTCCAAGATCATCAGTCTATCTAGTCCAAAGTTTGTTTCACACCCGAAGATGGACTCCATGTAAGTTAACAAGGCTTATCAAAATCCATCTGAATCGGGCATGAAAAAGATAAAATCCATTGACGTAAGTTGTGATCTCGAGGAGATTGGAGGTAGCTGGCTTGCTTCTAAAAGGTTACATGGCACCTCAACAAGTCAGAGCATACTTGAGCCTCAATCTGGCTAGGTAACGCGAGGCACGTAAGGTGACTAGTATCACTGAGGTGTCCCCACATCATTCCATCACTTAGCGTATCATCAAATCATTGGACGAGCCAAATTATCCCTCATCAGTTATAAACATATAAGCTTTAATAATTATGGCAAGCATGTGAAGAATGGTTTAGTATTAGTGGTCATAAGACTAAGACCAATTCTTCTTAGTAGCAAATTTCATATCATAAAAACCATGGGGCTAATTAGGGATCAAATTTAATGGGGAGTTGATGCGACAAAGTTTATGAGGTGATGCCAAATTTGAATTTGAATAAATTAGTTATAGAGAATACAAGCTTAAACACTATTTATCAAAAAATAAAATAAAATAAAAGCTTAAACACAAGTGTTAATGACTTGAGTAATTTGAACTTGAATACAGACGTTAATGAGAGCTAAGTATGTGAGACAAAAGTTGATACAAATAAAATAAGATATTAACAGAGTAACCGATAAGCCCATAGTATTGGCCAGTATTCGGCCTATCAAGTCTGTATTGGCCGATATACGCTGATACTGTGAGTATATTTGGCAGATACCACGAATACAAATGGAATGGAATGGAATGGAATTTAAACCATTCTACCTACCCATGTCATGTTCCAGTAAATTAAAAGACTGATATCTATCAATACTTTAAACCATGAAACTGGAAAAATCTAATTAATAAAAACAAAGAAAACCAGATCACACATACTCGACTCAGGCACACAGCATCTAGAGTCCATAGACTCAGGCAGACATCCCTGGGTACACTTCTACTTGATGCATGTTTCATTATAATGTCGAATTAAAAATAATAAACAAAATTTTCCGATACTTCCAAAATTAAATATGGCTAATTCAGTACATACAATGCAGAGCTGATCATTAGTGGCCCATTTTACAGGGTGAAGAAAAATAAGAAAGGTTGAGAAATCCTTGTGTAAATCTCCAATACACCAGTCCCAATGTGAAAATTAATTGAGGAACCATAACCTGAAAGCATGTATACAAATCAGAAATGATAATGAATAAGTTGCAAACTTTTCCAAAAAAAAAAAATCTTGGAAGAAAATATACCTAGTAGTTCACTACCTTTATGTATGACCTCAGGACTCCATTATTAGAGATTTCAACTCCTGTCGAAAAGTTGAAATTTTTTCTGCCTCTACAGCCATGATAAGTCCCACCAGCCTGTAATTCCTTAGCTGCAATAAAAATTATCAAGAACAAAGCAACACGTGTGAATGCCTCTGTAACTAACAGTAATTCTTTGAACAAGGAAAAATGAAATCATCCTCAGTTATGGGTATTAGAATAGTTGAGTTGACAAAATGAACAGCAACTGCATTAATAGAGCAGTATGAACAGTAAAATGGAGATTAAGGTTTCATCAAGACATGGCATGTAGTCATTTTATGAAGTCTAAAGTGACAGTAAATTTGTTATAATTTGCCCTTTTTTATACTTAGGATTTGGTTATAGACTAAAAAATCCATTGGATGTCAAAGTGACTAGCTGCAAATGGGAGCTTGCCTTGCTCAAATGCCAAGGAGATTTTGCACAAGGTAAAATGGATCCAAGTACAGAAATTCGTTATTACTACTACCACTTGTAACCTAATCATATTTTTTATCATTGTCCAATTCAACTCACTTGGACTCAACTGATTGAAATAAGGCTTCAATGGCAACAAGTAAAGACTTAGGTGCAGGTGCAGTGTATAATTTTTATTTTTCTTTTTTCATAAGCAAGCGCTATATATTGTCTTTTTCTGAGTTTAGTTTTCCCTACTTCTTGGACTGAAACAGGTGCTCCACCCCCTTCTTGGTGAATTTCCTACTTTGCCTCTTTTTAATGTGGTTGTGTTATTATTAATACAAAATATTAGGTGCTTTATTTAATTCTCATTATTATAATGCAATATACTTGACAAATTGAAATTAACATTTAAATATATAAATATATATATATATATATTCCATAAATATGATGATTTTCTATGTTCTTGATATGAAATTTGTAGTTTTAACGATATTATTACTGATTGTTATTGAAGAATGTAGATGATATGATTGTGGGTTACCATGCAAAATAAGAAGTCAACCTAGAATTTAGGGGGTTTTATTTTCAAAACTCCATCATGTGCGCTCCCTGGTTGTCTAGATTCACCATGGTGCCATGACAACTATGGGCATCATATGTCAGCATCCATGGCTTCTAATTGTGTTTTACCTGATTGAGCAGGAAGATTTTAGTCAACTTGTCAAAGAACCTTACAATAAAATTATTCACAACAGCAAGTGAGCAATTCATTATTTATATACATATTTATTTATTGGGACATGGGGCTACTGCCGGCTTGATGGTAAAATCTTGGACTGGCAAGCGTGAGAACATGGATTTGAGTCACATAGCAGCCACTTTGTGCAAAAAATGGCAAAGATTAAGAATAGTATCCAGTCAACCCCTGCCAAGACCCCAGATAGCCTGGAAAATGGCCTTCATTTATTTATTGGGAAAGGGTGGATACAGGCTTCATTAAAGCTCAAGGCAAAAGGCAAATAAAAAACAGAAAAAAAATATTAGACCAATTTAGACTGATAAAGATATTATACCAAATCTTTTGACAAGTAAAAAGATTATACCAATTTAGCAACATAGTGAGCTTTCAGTTTTTTTAGAAAAAAAAAAAACAGTTGTAATCGCATCACTTGTAACATAAGTTCTCAGGTTTAAAACTTCTTAATTTGACTGGACCTTGGTGTCATTACAAAAGTTCAGTTACCTATCCTAAAAGATCAAAATCATGAGAATCTAAGCTGATTTGGGAAAACTGTGGCCATTCTATTGGCAGGGCATTAGTTGGTGACAGGATAGTATCTTAAGTTAAAAAGAATTAGACATTTAGCAATCCTTTTAATTACTATTTTTTTCCATAAATAAGTTCTAAGAGCCATCCAACCCAAGCCTTTAAGAATATTTCAGGCACTCCAATATTGTAGTTGAATTATGAAATTAGATTAAGTCGTATTTGGTGCTGTTATGTAACTTAAAGCAGCATCTCCTACGTATTTTAGTTCATAAAACCCCATCAATTTTCTCTTTCTAATCCTAACAACAAATTGGAAACTTATTTTACCATTGATCAAGCCATCAATAAGCCTACCTGGTTTGTTTCTGATCTATTTGGAAAGCTTCAACTTCAATAGTATACCTTTCAGTTTATCTGGAGCTAACTTTTTAAAGATAAATGGGAAAGGTTGAAAGTTTTTACTTACCTCATGAGTTGCCAGCTGCTGAGTCCGCAAGGGAAAATTGAAGGACCATCTGCTAAGCTATGACAAATTTTGATGAATCAATAAGAAAATAATTTTAAGAGATGGCAATAATTTAAGAATTTCAAATAGCTGGTACCTTATGAAAAATTTCATCTTCAGGCTTAATATATATAATTGGCTCCTCATTGCTACTTCTTGATGCATGCTTTTGTTGGCCAATGTTCTTATGCTAATATTTTTGCACCAATAAACCAAAGAAAAAGAAAAAAATGTCAATGCCAATTCAAGAGTAATATAAAGGTAAAGAGACAAGAGAAAGATACATGATATACCTTGTATATCTTAGTGATCAGTAGATAAAATTTAAAGCGGAAGGAATTCCGGAGGTCCACTGTTGGCTTTAAGAAATGGAACAATGATAAATAAGAGCCTTTGTGGATGTCATTCTTTCAATAGGCAAAAACAGAAATATCTCCCAAGCCACATCAACCCACCCATCAGAAACTATGTTCTCTTCTAACCTCATCTTCAGTTGCCCATGAGACTTCATCAAAGAGCGCATCATAAAGTGGAGGCAAAAGTTGGGGAGGTAGATTGACCACACGCTGGGAGACCAAGAGACCAGCATTCCATACTTCCTCTCCCAAAAGCAATTTCAGGTTACTTAATGTTCCCTCCTCACATACTTTAAGCAGGAACTCCTTCAGCTCCATGATACATCTTTGATCCTGAAAAGGTTAAAAGACACACCATCTAAAACAATACGAATGAAATTCTATACTGTGTAAGTGCAAAAGAAACAAAAATATTAAAAAATAGTTCATAGAGAAAATTGCTTGCCTTGTATCTCCCTAGATTAAGAGCTGTGATGACAGAGAAGAGTCCATCATCTTCTGAATCCTCTACTTTTACCACTGTCCCCACTGTAGTCTGTGCAAGTATCAAGTCTACAAATCCACTTAGATCCCATTGCTTGTCATCAAGGTATGTCTGTAGCAAGATCTTCACTCCATGAAAGTCATCCGGTTTGGGATCAAAGAAAGCGAAATCTGCTTGAACAAATTCCTTCCAAAGACATAAGATTAATATAAATGGACAATTTCCTTCCAAAAAAACAGATTAACAGTACAGCGAGAGAGGGGAAAACAAAGAAAAAATTCCCACATTAAGGAAAAAAGGACATGAATTAGTTGGTAAATTTGAGAACCACAAAATGCACTTACTTCATTATCTTCATCATCAGAAGATTCAGATTGTTCAATCTTCTCTTTCAAATGGTGCTTGATGTACTGATTATCTAAGAACAACATATTAATAGGAAGACAGAATTTTTAGTTGAAATTTAACATAAAAAAACAAGGATGCAAAACAGTAGATAACATCAAGTAGAATCATTCCGCATTATAAAACATGAAAAAAGGGCAGCCCAGTGCATGAGGCTCCCCACCAATATGGTATCTGGGGAGGGACAGATGTATGCAGCCAAACCCCTGCACATACAGAGAGGCTGCTTCCAAGATTATAAAACATGAAAACATACAAAAAAAAAGAGGCATCCTAGAAGAAAGAAGATGTGTTGCTTAGTTGATACCTGAGGGTGTAATGGAAAATTTTCGATGGGACTTGGATTCCTGGATAAGGCGCTTGAGCTTGCAGGTGGATGCAAGTTGAGCAACACAACGAGCAAAGGGAGAGAAAGTCAAAGGCCTGGTTTTTAAAAAGTTACTATGCCTCCCTGGCTGTCTTGGCATGGCTCCTTTTCTGGTGCCTAATAAAACGATCTACAGAAAACATTTAAGACCATTAGAACTATGACGTTTGAGCTCCTCATATTCTGAAAAGACATTTCCCTGTGTTTAGATCATGGATTTATGAAGTAGTGACCTTAAGCATCATGGACCCAGAAACCACAGAGAACAGCTTTGGAATTCTCAATCTATGATGTGATGAACAAATAAAGATCGGCAATAGTACCATCAGTATGTATCTGGGTGTGCAGACATGCATTTGTGTGTATGAAGATGGTTTCTTGCTGCTACTGCTGCCAAAGGCCTAAATATATAGTTAAGAGTGTAGGGGAAAATGGCAAGATTATTCTACAATTTCCTGGCTAATGTAGTGGTTCACATGACTGATTCTAAATGCATTGTGGTTATTAAATCCTTCCCAGTGTGGATGCATTCATGTGGCTCTTTCTTGGCAAATAGCACACCATTGACCATCTTAATCCATGGAATAAATCCAGAATACTTGCATTGTGTCTAAGGAGCCATTTGATAACAGCTGAAGTGGATGAATTGCATGACTTAATGGATGGAGATGAAGTTGGATTGATTACTAAAACACTATACCCTCTGACACTTATTACTTGACAATTTATCCACTAAAGCCAAACCAATAAGCCATTCGGTTTAACCATTTAAGCTGTTACCAAACAGCCCCGTAAGTGAGAAGAACTGATGAATAATCTTTTCCTCTATAAATCCCAAGATTTTAGATATATGGAAGTCCATGCTCCATTTTCAGATTGACTGCATGTTCCCTTGATTATTATTGTAGCTCTTCTCTCTTGGCCTTCATTCTCTTTGAGTAGAAAGAGTTCTATCATTTGGGGTTGGAGCATGATTCATTTTGCAATAATCTGGTCAGTTTGGAAAGTAAGAAATTTAAGATGTTGAAGGGCAGGTAAAGGTCTTCTGACTCTTCTAACCATCAGTGCACGAATTTTAGTGGCCTCTTGATGGATTGCGTGTTTTCCATGAAGAACCATACAGGCCTTTGCAGAAGAACTTAGTAGCTAATTGGAAATTCTATTAAAAATGAAAAGAGTGGCACTACGTAACCAAACCGTGGAGAGAAAGCGAGAATGGGAGTGAAAGTGCAAGTATGCCAAAACCGAAAATACATAAAACTTATGACTACCTACATGCATGCATATATAAACACTAATAGGCATCCTCCTAATTTATGATCATATAAAATTAAAAACAAAATAAAAAATGTAATATCAAATGTTGAAAACTCTATATACATAATTTTTGCATTTTCAGAGTATTAATGCTTTGAACCATGCTGGAAATATAAGCCCATGCCCAGCCTACATAATATTATATATATTTGTCTATATGCAGTTGTGATATTTAGATATATATCTTCATGCATGAAAATATAAACAATAAATATGAACTATGGATTTAAAATACACTTAAAATATATATACATCAATTTTAATTAGATATGAAATAACAACAAGAATAGAAAGATCAGTAGGATCTTTCCTTTGAGAGAGAAAGAAATATCTAATTATAACATTCGTAAATAGTACATTTTTTATCAATAACCATAGGTACATTTACCATTTATTTCTTGGTCCTTACTTAGAGAACAAATGCTGGGCCTGGGCAGAAATAAAGAGACAGTGCATTTATAGTGGCCGGATCCCTTGTAACAATGCAAGTTTTCAAATTAGTCTAGAATCCATGCTTTACAATTTCCCAATGCAAATTGTCATGATGATTTTCTAGGAAAACAGGAATCCATGCGGTCTGAGTGGCATATCTTTCTTTTTATACATTTAATTATACGTGCACAAATGAAATACTTTCATCAACAAATTTCATATGATTATACCAACAAGTTACATGGTGTGATACAATCAGATAATAAAATTTCTTACCCTGAAGTTTTTTGTTTGGTATAATTTGAAAGTGCAATTGCAAATTGTTCGGAGCTAGCAAGGAAACCAAACCTAATCATGCTGAAGAATGTTTTAAAATAAAGGTTTTTTATCAGTAATGGCAGAATTTATTAAGAATAAGAAACTACAATTACAAGAGAGGGGGAGGTAAACTTTCTTAACTCCCTCATTTTAGCAAAACAAAAGATGCAAAATTAGAAATGAGCCCAAAAGAAAGATCCCCTATTCACCCCTTGCTTGGTTAACCCATCAGCAAGTGAGTTAGCAGTTCTCTTTACCCAACTGCATTTCACCTCAATGTCCCTAGTCAGCCACTTAATTTTTTTCTTTTCATTGCTGTAGTTCCAGATACCAGAGTTATCTTCCTTTAGCCATCTCACCACCACCTCTGAGTCGCGTTCAAAAACCACTTTTCTTAGGTTCAACTCCCTTGCTCTTTGGGCACCTTCCAGAGCCACAAGGATCCCATCCCTAAGAGAGTCTCCTTCTCCAATAGGGCCAGAGAACATGGTTATAATAAGCCCTTCTTCATTCCTGAACACTCCCCCTATACCAGAGAGCCCTGGGTTCCTTAAACTACTGCCATCAAAATTCAGCTTCATGAATCCAGGGGGGAGGGAGGTCCAAGAGGGAGAAGAAACCGTAATACTCTGAGCAGAATTAGCTATCTCTAACCAATTTCTCAGCAAGTCATCCAAGGAGAAAACTTTGAATGGGTTAAGAGATTTCAGCCAGTGAGCCACCCTTACATCCAGTGTATCAACTCCATTACATCCTCAATGGTTCTTTCCTTTTCTGAGAAGATGTTTTAAAATAAAGGTTCTCAAATTGAATTCTGATCATCTCTTTTTTGGTGGAGATTGTTTTGGCCAAATAAGTGCGCAGATTATAGAAAGAGAAAAGGAGAAATGGGGATGATTTGAAAACTTGACTTGGAAAAGGCTTATGACTTGGTAGATAAATTGGTGCTTTTTACTAGAAGTTTTGAAAACCAAGGGTTTTGGAGAAAGGTGGTGTAGATGGGTAAAAGGTTGTGTCTTCGTGTTTGTGCCACTACTCTATTTTGGTGAACAGGGTAGCCAGGGACTTTTTCCCTGCAAAGAGAGATCTAAGATAAGGGGACCCACTCTCTCCCTTCCTTTTTACCTTAATAGTGGATGTGTTGAGTGTTATGATCTCTTGAGCTGACTCCAGAAATCTTGTTAGTGGGTGGAGAGTAGGGAGGCAAGAAGTAGTTGTCACTCATTTACAATTTGCAAATGATTTAATTCTTTTTTGTAAGGGAGAGCTTGGGGAGCTGGTCAATCTGAAAATATTGGTAGAAGGTTTTGAAAAGGTCTCTAACTTGAGAGTGAATTGGAATAAAAGTTGTGAGGCTGGGATTAATAGGTTAGATGAGGATGTGTTTTCCTTGGCTAGGATTTTAGGTTGTGAGTTGAGTGAGTGACCTTTAAAGTACTTAGGTTTACCTCTGGGAGGAAACCCAAAGTCAAAAAGTTTCTGGTACCCAGCCTTGGAAAGATTCACAAAGAGACTAGCAGAGTGGAAGAGGAATTACATATCTTTAGGAGGTAGAATCACTTTTATTAAGTCAACACTAGCAAGCTTGCCAGTGTACTTCTTGTCTACCTTCAAGGTGCCTGCTAAGGTTGCAAATTAGTTGGAAAAAGTAATGAGAGATTTCCTCTGGGAACCTAGGGAGTCAAAAAAGGATCACCTAGTGAAGTGGGAAGTGGTCTCTAGGACAAAGACAAAGGGGTATTAGGGTTTGGAAATGTTCGATTAAGAAACATAACACTTTTAGGTAAGTTGTGGGGGTTTCCCAAGGAGCAAGAAAATTTGTGGCATAGAGTGATTAAAAACAAATACATGTATTTGCAACTAATGGATGGGATGTTGGTCTCGACCTAAGGGCTTCTCATTCCTCTCCGTGGAAAGACATTGTTGGTATCCTGCCCACTTTTTCTCCTTTCATTAGGTGTGATGCTTGTTTAGATAATAAGATCCTTTTTTGGGAGGACACTTGGATTGGGGACCAGCCTCTTAAGGATAGGTACCCGGCCCTCTACTCCTTGTCCTTGGACAAATTTAAAGTCATCTCTACCTTGCATGTTTCTGGAGAGTCGTGAGATCTAGGGTTCAGGAGAGGGTTTAGGGAGTCAGAAATAGGGTTGGCAAATGATCATTTCTCTCTTCTAAACTCAGTGTTTTTGGACCAATCTTATCCTAATAATAGATTTTGATCTAAAGAGTCCGGTTGTTTTTTCTGTTCTTCTTTCTCCAGTGCTTCAGTGCACTCTTTCAATTTAGTTTACTCTTTTCCTGTAAAAGAAGTGTGGTGTGCTCCTGTACCTCCAAAGGTGAGGACTTTTTGTTGGGAAGTGGTTCTCCAAAAAATCAACACTTTGGATTTACTTCAGAGAAAAAGACCAAATTGGTGTTTGTCCCCTCATGTTTGTAGCCTTGGCTTGAAGAGTGGTGAGACAGTAAATCATTTACTAATCTTTTTGTGAAGGTGGGTTCCTCCTACAAGTGTGGTGGATCTTTTTGAATCTAGATTTTTCCGTCAACCAAAGAAAAGAGGAAGGGTGATGTGGAGAACAACAAGGGCAGCAATTATTTGGGCAGTGTGGGGAGAGAGAAATAACAGAATCTTTCAAGGGCAAGAACAAACAGCACATGAAGTCATAGAAGGGATCACCATCAAGGTTATACATTGGCTGAAATCAATGGACCTGTTCAAGGACTTCTCTGTAGATGCCTTAATTAGAGGGTGGAGCACAGTAGCAAGTTCTTCCTGCCCCTCTTTAGCTATTCAAGAGGACTGCCCCCCCCCCCCCTTCAACTATGGGAGTAAAGCAGAACTTTGATGGCAGCTCTGTAGGTAATCCAGGTCCCTCTGGAATTGGAGGTGTCTTTAGAGATAGGGGAAGAAAAGTCCTGGCCCAATAGGCTTGGGGGATCTCTTAGAGTAGAAGTCCTACAGGGGCTCAACTTGTAAGGGAAATTATGCAACTAACAAGGGAGCTTGAAGTCTGTTTTAAATGGACTAGGAGATCAGCCAATGCAATGGCCGACACAAGC